GTGGCTGTTGCCATCGCCCCTGAGAGCCTTCCACAGCCCCTCTGGGAGAGGACCCAAGCAGAGCCATTTCCCATGGGGCTGGTGCGGTGCCTGGCAGCTGCCTTCCTCCTCCTCCTCCTCCCAGGTGAGTGCCCTGCCCGGTGGCGGGGGCTTTCCAGGGGCAGGCGAGGGGGAAGTAAAGCAGCTGGGGTTGGGAGCAGCACCCGCATGGGTCAGAGGTGTGGGCTGTCTCCCTGGCCACTTTGCCTTCCTAAAGCAGGTGGACAGGACCTTTGCGGGTGGGTGGCTCAGCAGAGCACCTTGCTGGGGCTGTGGGGTGAGGACAGCCCTGCCATGGCCTGCGGTGCTCTAGCTCGGTGGCCGTGGGAAGAGGTGCAGCAGCATGTTCTCCTTTTGGCACTGTGGTTTCACTCCAAAGCGATAGCCCAGACCCTAGCAGGGTTTTGGTGAGGGGACATGCAAGCCCCTGTTGCGTGGCTGCTAGGGGTGTGGAGGGGGTTACCTCACCCCTCTTACCTTGGGAGTGGGTTTCTGAGGGTTTCATAGGCTGTGCCACCACCACTCTTCCCTAGTCTGGTCTCCATGGTTGGTTTTTAACTCAGTGCCCACATCCTGTGAGCATTTTGCTTGGTGTGCATGCTGAGCACCAGAATAGAGTGAGTCACCACTGGGAGCTCTGAAGGAGGGGAGGGTGCACAGGTGGCCATCACCTCCTCAAACCCTCTGCAGGCAGAAACAGAAGGAGCCCTTGATGCCTCGTGGTGCTCCCTGCCTTTGGAGGAGCTCTTGCTGACCCCCTCTCCCATGCCCTCCCAGTTTCTGTCCATGGAGCGCCTCTGCATCACCCAGGCTGCCCGTTCCCTCTGCTGTCCCATGTCCCTTGGCTTCTGCGTTGCATCTCCTTCTCTGACAGTGGTCAGTTCTGGCACCTGCTTCGTGTCCCCTACAGCTTGTGCAGGACTTGAGTGCTTGGTCCTCTTAATTTTAACACACCACAAAGCTTCCTCCAGTGATCTCAGCCTGGCTGCTGCTCCCTCTGAACAGCTGGCTGAGAGATGCTCTCCAGCCGTGAACGGGCTTGACAGCCCTCTGGCCATGATGCTCTGGTCTCTCTTGTGTGACCCCCAGTGTGCTAGGAGACAAGAAAGTTTGGAGATCTGTTGTTACAGGACTTGTTCTTACACGCAAGGGGCAATGAATGAGGGTGTACAGCAATTCTTTTCAGTATTACATTGCGGTCCTGTGCACATCCAGACCCACTGCCGTTTTCGGTGTGCAGCCCTCGGGTAGCGTATACCCCTGCAAACACCGCATGTGCCGACTGTTTGCTGGCAGGTTTGAGCACTGGCCAACGGGTGGTGACTGTTCAGAAGGGGCCCCTCTACCGCGTGAGGGGGTCCCACGTCACGCTGTGGTGCAAGGTGAGCGGCTACCAGGGCCCGGCAGAGCAGAACTTCCAGTGGTCCATCTACTTGCCCTCGGCCCCTGAGCGAGAGGTGCAGATCGTCAGCACCGTCGACCCCTCCTTCCCCTACGCCATCTACACCCAGCGCGTGCGCAGCCGGGGGATCTACGTGGAGCGGGTGCAGGGGGACGCCGTCCTGCTGCACATCACGGAGCTGCAGGACCGGGACGCTGGGGAGTACGAGTGCCACACGCCCAATACCGACGAGAGGTACTTTGGGAGTTACAGCGCCAAGATGAACCTCTCAGGTAGGTCCTGAAAGACAACCTTGCTCCCTGCCGGGCAGGGGTGCTGGCAGGCTGCCGCTGTCCCCACCTTTGCAATGGGGAGAAATGCTCGCCTCTGGGTCTCTGACAGAGGGGCAGCTGGGGAAAGGGGAGATTAATGGGACTGGTGGGCACAAATGTTCCTTCCCTCCCCGCTGTGGGATTGCTATCCTACCCCCGGGTGGCCAAGGTTGGGATGCCCAGACGTCCCCTTGCAGGTTGCTCTGGCTGATGTCTCCCAGCCAGGGCAAGGGAAGGGAGAGGAAGCCTCTGCTGTCCGATGGCCCAACTTTAACTTCAGCTCCTGACACAGCCACAGCATTTCACAGCTAAGCGCTTAGGAGGTCAGGAGTTTTCAGGCCCTGTGTGTTAGCTGTTGGTGTCCTCTCAGGTCAGGGTGTGGGACTTGACCCAAGTTGTGTACCCACAGATGGAGGGAGGTAACAGCTCCTGCAGAGCACTGGGAGAGGGAAGGCAACAGGGTGGAGAGGCAAAGGGAAAGGCCCTACCGTGACCCCACCAAGTCTACATGGTGGTATGATACTTCCACTTGGTATTCACCTCTGTTTCCTCCTTTGTCCTGGTGTTGTACCAGCCTGCGCTTGGGATCGTGAGGGACTGGATGTTAACCTCCTTGGGGCTGCCTAATTAACACTGCCTGTAGTTTGACTGAAGAGGGTACTGCAGAGAGATTCATTGTGCTTTCTTCCCTCCTGAGGTTTTAACTTCACACCTTGGCATAGGCTGATGGAAGCTTTGTCAATCGGCTACAAAAGATATTTCTCCTACGCTGTCAGATCCCTTAGGGCCTGGCCGCGGTTTCATAGTGGCCGGCAGGTTGCCCACTGAGGCCAAGAGACGATTTTTCCCGTGACCAGCTGCTCTCTGTGTTTCTCCCCCGTGCTCAGTGATCGCAGACACCCTCTCGGCTTCCATGGTGCCCCAGGTCCTCACCCCCGCTGAAGGGGACGTGGTAGAGCTCGCCTGCGAGGTGTCCAAGTCCACCGCCCAGCACACGCATCTCTCTGTTGGCTGGTACCATCTTCAGGGAGCAGGAGAGAGCCGTGCCGAGGAGGTCCTCACCCTCTCCAAGGACTTCGTCTTGAGGCCGGGGCCCTCATACATGCAGAGATTTCTGGCGGGGGACGTGCGGCTGAACAAGGTTGGGAACACCACATACAAGCTCTTCATTGGGGGAGCCAAGCTGTCTGACCGGGGTCAGCTGTACTGTGAGGCGGCCGAGTGGATTGAGGATCCCGATGAGACGTGGAAGGACATCTCCCGCAAGGAAACAGGGAGGACGTCGCTGGTGGTCATGAGCCAGGGTAAGGCCCTCACAAACTCACATGTTGGCTCCAACTCCTTTACGCATTGAAGGCCCTCCAACAGCAGCCTTCATGGCCTTTGCCTGCCTCCGCTGCAGCCCAGGGACCTGCTGGTGGGTCTGGCTGCCTCCGCCGGGCACCGAGGGGGCGGACTGGGCTCAGGGCCGTGGCAGCCCCTGGTTTGGGAGCTGTTGGTGCTTCTTGCTTTGAAGGCTCACACAGCTGAGTCTCCGACGCCGGCAGCGATGGTGCAACCTCACAAGCCCTTGCGAGGCGTTAGCAGAGAGAGCAGCGTGTGCCCGCAGCAGGCTGGCTCCTTGGCAGCGTTAAGCTCCAGTGTGCAGAAAACCGCATTGTTAGACTGCCTCGAGAGTCTCACGGCCTCAAAAACTGAAGTACGTAACAGTCACGGTGCCTCGGCCATGGGCACTGAGAGACATGGAGATGCGTGTGCTGCATGGCTCTGGTGTCTGCTGGTGGTGGCTTATCTGTCTGTGCTGTCACAAGTCTGCTGGCCTCCAGAGCAACTGATGTTTCTGCTTATTAGACCATCCCTGTGTCTCCTCCTAGTAGTTCATGTACGGTGGTAACGGGATTGTGGGTCAGACTGTGCTTTGAAGCAGGTGCACCAAGCTTCTGGCTTATGCTCTAGGAAAACGTAGTATTAGGTATTTAGAAAGAGGAGACTTAGGCCTGCTACCATGTATGAGACGGATTAAAATAGGAAAGTATGAAAACCAGCCCCTTGCCAGTGCTCCCATTCTCCCCCGCTCCACTCTGTCCCTGCCAGGCACCTCCTGTTCCCTCTACCAGCAGCTTCCTATGGCTCCTGGCATCTGCAAGCTCTGCATTGCCTTGCCCAGGGCCGGTGAGAAAATACCTCTCTCCCCACTGCCCTGGGATGATTATAGCGCTGTGTGTTTGCTGCTACTCTTCTGAGTGCCCTCCCTGCTGTCCCTCCTGCCGCAAGCCCTTTGCTGGCTGTGGTCCCTCACCCTGCTCTTCCTCCAGCTGTGTGTGGGTAGCTGTGCCCAGAGGAAGTTTTACCTCAAAGGAGCCAAGGCAAGGCTGTGTCTAGTTGATACCCTTTAACATAGGCAGTAGTATGCAATAAAATGGGAGCAAGTCTCTCGCAGAAAAGATGCCTGGGGAGATCGTGTACCACGTCCCCATGCCTCGGGGCGGATGGAGGAGGCTGCAGAGCTGGGGCGGTGAGGGGAACCGGTGTCTCACGGGAGGGTGGTGAGTCAGAGCAGGAAACCAAAGAAACGGATGGGTAAGGACCAAGCACCCTGCGTGCAGCTCAGGGGGGCAAGGTACCAGGGGGAGGGGAGGCAGGTGCAGTCTCCCACCGTCAGAGCCTGGTTCTAGAAACCTGGCTGACTGGCAAAGCTTTGTTCCCCATATTACGCACTGTTTGCCGCAATGGCTTTCCATGTCTGCTGCTGCCTGGCGAGCAATGGCAGTTGGTGTGCTTTCCTGCATCTGCTTGTTTAAGAGGGTTCATCATGACTGGCAGCATGTGGCTTCAGGTACTGGTGCCACATGATTGCTTAGAAATAGAGAAACCTTGTCAGAGTTTAATATTTGCACTGTGGTAGCCATTAAGGGTAGAAGGGAGGCAATGGTGGTAAGAGGACAACATGGCGGTTGTACTAGAGCCGCTGGTATTGCCAGAGGGAAATGGTGGCAGGTATATGAGCCCTCCATCACATCTGCGGGGCCGGGGGCTCCCTCCAGTGCCCCATGGGAGAGCCCGGGCTGTGGGGCTGAGCACCCTGTCGCACCGGGAGCCAGTGACCACTCTGACCGTGGCCAACTGCTCCAGTGGTTTCTATAAACTCTCCAGCAAATATTTGGGAATGCCAAACATACCTACAGCAGCTGGGATTCCTGTTCGTAAACTGTTTATGAACCATTGTTTAAATTCACAGGGTACTCTGCTTTCAGTAAATTATTTGAGCCCTCCCAGTGGTAGTCTGGGAGCTGCTCTGTTTTACGTCCAAACTACAGCACGTAGCCTTGTCCTTGTTGTTAGACACGGGGGACACGACGGTGACCCAAGGAGATGGAGCAGCACGAGCCAGGCTGCCTGCCCAGGGAGTCGGGGCTCAGCCCTACCTCCTGTTTTTCGGTCATGCCACCGCTGTGTGGGGTCACGGTGCAGGGTTTCAGGGTACCCTGTGGGTCTCTGCCTGCAGCTGCCCTCCAGATGGGCTGAAGCTGGGTACCAGGGGGCATTAGCGGCAGAGGCTTTGAATGCCCTGTCAGGAAGGTGAATCGTGTCAGGACCCGGAGACAGGGTCCTTATCTCAGGTGTAGCTGACTGCCCAATATGGTCTACCAAGGAGAAGATGACTTTGTGCTCCCCCTCTTTGCTCAGCACCTGCTGCTGGTCGGTATGGGGGGCAGGACAGGGGCGAGGAGATGACTTCCACCTCCTCTTGCTTCTCTCTGACCTCCCTATGCTGCAACGAGTCTTGACATTTCTGCTTTCTTCAGGAACTAATCCAAAACCTCTCCAACTTTGAGAGCGTTTCTTGCCCACATCCCGCAGCAGCCAGTGAGGGCTGCAGCATGCGGGACCAGCAGCAGTTCTAATGCCAGCCCTCCATGCACCTTCTCCCACCACAGACAGCAGAGTTAAAAACACCACTGAGTGACAAAGCCCCTTTGTGCCCCTTTCTGGTTTAAGGGGTATTTGTTACATGAAGCTCCAGGAGGTGAGATGGAGCAAAAGCCTCCGGGTTAGGGCAGCCCCCGGTTCGGATGCCTGAGCTGAGCGGGGGGCGGCTGTTGGCCTGAGGCCATCCCGATGGGTGCTCTGCTCTGGGGGGGTTAGTTGCCCTGAAGCGGGGAACTCAGCTCCTCAAGGCTCTGGTGCTTCTTCTCTCTGCGACTGCTAGTTAGTGCCTGGAGCTGGCAACTGTCTCTCCACGGGCAAATTTTTCCTTCCTTATCACTTTTCTAATGAAAGAAAATGTTTCAATAGAGAATTCCCTCCCGTTTCCCTCTGCACGGCCATCGGTGCTGCCAGGCGGGAGGGAAGTGTTGACAGGGCCACCCAGCACCCTCTTTGCTTTTGATTGCCCACAGGCAGAGACCTCTCTGTGGACATCGCTGCTGCTGAAACCTCCCTTTCTGAAGGTGATACCTTGCAGCTAAATTGCATGGTGGGAGCCCAGAAGAGCAGCAGCAGGCACTTCCAAGTGCTTTGGCTCCTCAACGGCGTAGGAGTGGCCAGGGTTGACCCCCGTGGGGTATTGATTTGGGAGGAAGAATATGAGGAGAGAGCCAAGCTGGGGCAGCTCCGAGCATTCAAGCAAAGCAACATGGTTTATGTCCTCACCGTCTACGAGGTGGGGCTGAAGGACAACGGAACGTACCACTGCTCTGTTTCGGAGGTGAAGACTCCTGGAGACTTTCACGCCATCCAAACCAATCTGTCATCAGGCATCCAAGTCGATGTGAAGCCGATAGGTTAGTAAATCCTAATGGCTGCTCTTCTGGGTAAAACCTGCAGTGATCCCTGACTGGGGAACGCTTCAAGTCAGGCCTCATCTTGGCAGGGGCCACACGTGCTGTCTGCAGTAAGAGTGCAAATGTGCCATAGATTTTGGTAGATAATAATGGGAAAAGCACTTGCTCTGGTAAACGTTAGCATGACAGATGCAGCAGCTGTCAACAAAGTGTAAACTGTTAGCTCAGTCTCTTTGCAATAAGTTTTGGGGCAAATAGGTAGAGTTCTGGGGAGGTTGGGTCTTCCTGCATCTTTGGCACAGAAAATTGTGAGCAACTCCTGTTGCTACTCCTGAGGATCACAGGATGACCCAGCAGAACAGGTACTTCTGGATGGTGGGGATCATTGCCATTTCCATCAGGGTGCTCTCTCTGTTTTGGAGGGATGACCTGTGAGAAACCACTCTAAGAAAGATGTGTAGGAGACTCTTGGTTTCCTTGTCATAGCCAGGCGATGGCTATTCTGATGTAGCAGGAGCTACCTGTTGGGACTCTATTTCTTAAGTATTTCTTTATGTATCCATGTCCCAGGAAAGACATTAAAGAAGGAAAAAAACAAACAACCAACCCCACAAAGCCCTCTCCAAAGTTATAAGAAAAGGGTGGTTGAAAATTTCAGACAATTCCTTTCCTCTTCCAATGTAAAGATTTATCTAGTATCTCCATTAATGCCACAGTATCTCTGGCTTTCTATGAGGAACGTAACAACATCCCCTGCACGCAGTAACTGTTGTTTGCAGAGAGCCGCATGCGCCTGTCCGTGTCCACCAGCACACCGCAGGTCATGGCAGGAGATGCCTTGATCCTCCTTTGCAAGGTGCAAGGAGTGACCAGCCCCGTGTCCGTGCAGTGGTGGCACCTGCCACCGCGGCACCCGGGTCCCCGGGTGCCAGTGGCCACCATGGAGCAGGACGGAACCCTCAGCCTGGGCAGCACCTACCGGGACGGCGGGACTCGGGGGAGCCTCCGGCTGGAGAAAGCGAGCTCTGGCACTTTCACCCTGGTGATCCCCAACACGCTGGACGAGGGCGACGGCGGGCGGTATGGGTGCGAAGCGACGGAGTGGTCCCGAGGCCAGAGCTGGACAGAGGAGGGGGAGACAGCAGTGACAGTCAGCTCCATGGGTGAGTTGGGCCACCCCTATTTCTGGGCTTTCAAGCTGGACATGCTGGAGGCAAGGCTAGAGAAGCGGGTGGACACATGTGGGTAGGACAGAGGTCTGCTGTGCCCTGAGCTCTGCTGCTGCTGCAGGGTGATCTGGGGCTGATCACTTGGCCCTGAAGTGCCTCAGTTTCCCCATTTCTAGCAGGGTGCTCGAGTCCTCCATGAGATGTTTTGGGAGACACAAGTGGGACACAACAGCTAAAGTGCCCAGATACCTGAAAGGCAGTGGCTGGCTCAGCAGGTCTTTCTCACTGTCTCTTTGAAATACAAAATATCTGTTCCAGCAGCATAATTATTTACAGTAATTAAGTTCAACAAAGGCACTTGTGTGGTGTCAGAGATATACCCCTGGCATCTGATCGCTTCTCCTGCCCTCCTGTCTGAGCACAGAGCCGCTAACCTCCCTGGCGTGCAATGCCCACGCTGTTTCTTCTTTTGATTGCTGGAATGGGTGCCTTTACGGAGAGGCAGCTTTTGGCTCTGGTTTAGGGTGTTTTTCCTTTCTTATTGCTGGGCTGGGTGCCTGAGCACCGGACAGGTCACAGGAGTTGTTAGGCTTTTGTGGAGGGTGGAAAGAAGCAGCAAACAGGGCAGCAGCATCAGCAGAGGATCCCCTGGCTCCCTGCCATGGGGTGGGATGGGGGAGCCTGGAAGAGAGGGTACCCAGGGCTGCCCGGGGGGCTGGGGTTGGGAGAGCGGGGGCGAGGTGGGAGAGGCCAGGGACTGCATGGGGCTGGAAGAGCAGGGTGAAACTCGGGAGAGAGCGGCACTGGCAGAGGAGCAGCAGGACTGCTGGCTGCCGTGGGGCTGCGGTGGCTGGGGCAGCGGGGACGGTGCTGCGTGGGAAGGGTGGTGGCGAGGTGGCTTGGGGCAGGGTTTCTGTCCTGGCACCAAGGGCTCTCTTCTGCCAAGCAGGTCTCGGTCTGCACGCCACACTGAGAAGCCGAATTGCCACCGTCACATATGGGCAGAGTTTTGAACTCGTCTGCCAAGTGAGCGCCAGCTACACCCTCGAGGAGGTGCCGATGTCTGTGGCGTGGCTTTTCCAGACCAGCCCACCCACCGGCCACTACCATGAGCTGGTCCGGGGACT